GAGAGAGAGAGAGAGAGAGAGAGAAATAGAGGAAGAGAGAGAGAGATGGAAGGGGGAAAGAGAGGAAGGGAGGGAGAAAAGGAGGGAGGGAGGAAGGGAGGGAGAGACAGCGCTAGCTTGTGGCTTGTATAGAAGTCAGAGGACAACTTGTGAGAATATGTTCTCTCCATTTACCACGTGGGTCCAGGGAATCAAACTCAGATGGTCAGGTTTGGTAGCAATTGCTTTTACCTGCTGAGCCACCTTGTCAGCCCTGTTATCCAATGCTTTACATTTGTTTTCTAACTTTTGTTTTTATAGAAAAGAAATTATATTTCTAAAGCAATAAAGTTTTCTTTGTTCTTCAAAATAGAGATGATTGAGGTCTAGGTGTGAAAGGAGAGAGCCGGGGGGTGTGCTGTGCCCTGATGAGGCAGTCACTGATGCCGGCTGCTGAGGATGAGGTCACAATAGCCCAGACCATTGGTGCCTCCAGAATGGAACACCTCAGTTTTCCAGTGTTAATGTTGACAACTTGGTGGTAATCAGCAAAAGCATTAGGCTTTGTCTGATATCATTCAGAGACTGGTCCAGTTCAGTAGCCATCCATCATCTCCTGAGCAGCTAAGAACACAAGCAGCAAAACAGTGTTCTAAGTTCTTTCACATTTTTTAATGGTTTGTTTTCTGTGTATGAGTGCTTTTCCTGCATGTGCTTATGCACCACACGTATGCAGTGCCCATGGGAGTGAGAAAAGGATGTTGGATACCCTGGGACTGGAGTTACAGTCAGTTGTGAGCTGTGGGTGCCGGAACTCAAACCCAGGTCTTCTGCAAAAGCAACAAGTGCTCTTGATAGCTGAGCCATCTCTTCAGCTCCAATGAACCACGTTCTTAAGGCCCTGACTTGAATTTAAAAAGCCCCAGGGTATAATGGTGCATGCCTATAATTTCAAGGTAGAAGAGGCAGGAGGACTGCCAGTTCAAGATCAGGCTAGGTAATATAGTGAGATCATGTCTACAAACAAACAGAGTTTCAAGTCACTTCTAGTAAACCCCACCATCCTTCAGTATGGGGACTGAATCCAAGGTTTTATGATTTCTTAGTACTCTTTTCTTGGGTAAAGTGGAGCAGGTGGATATGATTGCACATCACTGTATACAAGCGGAAAGCTTAAAGAATAACATTTTAGAGGATTATTTCAGAGAATCTAACATCTAGGTATCTTTTTGCTCTGCCGCTTGTGTATATATATACAGTTCTAACTGTAACTCCTATCCTTTTGAATGTAAGTCTCTAAAGATCCGATCACCGTCAAGTGGGAACTACTTACACAGTGGAGCCGCCACTGGGCATCAGGGGTGCCTCTGCAGAGCAGTGCCCCCTTAGCTGGCGGGGCTTCCTTGGAGGCTCAATCCCTCTCAGCTAGGCTGATCCCTTAGGTGCAGTGATTGGAGGCACCTGCCCTTCAAGAGGCACACTGTGGAGGCTTACCTGTCTCAAATCTTCTATTTGTAACAGGTGCTTTATCTAATTAGCAAAATCTCCACCTTTACCTCTCCGTTCCTCTCTGTACAGGTTGCTGGTGGTGGGTAGGAGGGCGGGCTGGTGTATTCTGAGGATTAAATCTAGGTCCTCATGCATACAAAGTACCTGCTTATGTCTACCACTGACATTCATGCTTAGCCCCATGCCTAGCAGTCATTTCTCCCATTTTTTTACTAATCTTTACAACTCTGAGCTTCAAGAAATAAACCTGCAATTACTCTACCTGTTAGGCTAAAGTTTGATCTCAAAGAACTTGGAGTTAGGTGTGGTGGAGCACTCGAGAGGTATAAGCAGGAGGATCAAGGTCTACACAGAAAGGTTCAGGCCAGCAGAGTGACATAGTGAGACTTTGTCTAAGGGGTGGAGGTGGGGAACTGGAGAATGCTTTACACTCCAAAGCTATCCTCTTCCCTTAGGACACACTGGTGCTTAGAGATCTGAGTCTTGAACAAGGGGTAGTGGCACCTTTTAAGTGTGTGTGTGTGTGTGTGTGTGTGTGTGTGTGTGTGTAAACCCTTCACTTGGGAGGCAGAGGTAGGAGGATCAGTAATTCAAGGTTATCCTCAACTGCACAGCAAGGGTTCAGCCTGGTCTACATGAGATCCTGTTTCAAACAAACAAGTAATTGACCTCAACTTCAAATATAAATCAGCAGCAATAGTCCAGTCTCCTTTAGGAGAGGAAGGTGGGCAGATGGGATGCATGTATGTATCATAACCATCATGATTTGTCTAGCATGTCGAGCACGGTGGTCCTTGCTTGTAATCTCAACACTCAGGAAGTGGAAGCAGGAGAATCCAGAACTAAAGGCTAGCCTGGACTACATACTTGAGACTCCATCTGTGAAGAAAAGAAAGGAGGGAGGGAGGGAGGGAGAGAGCTTAAACTTTTAAATTCTAACTTTATTGAATTTGTGTAATATGTTGCAACTGATGTGTGATTTGACATTGTGGTGGTGATTTGTGCCTCTTCTTGTTTTGGCAGCATAGATTAAGTCATTCTGCCTCCCTGAATGTCCTATTAAAGTGTACAACCAAGTTTCCTTCCTCTGTAGAGTTCCATGCCCGCTTTTATTTGTGAAGTAGACTAGAGTGACCCCGTGCAGTGCCTGTATGCAGGTGATTTGGGATCCTTTTGGCTTTCTTGCCCAGCCCAGGCTCCTCAAGTCATTGTTGCTTGTCCCATGGCACCAGGTGCTCTTCCATCTCTGTGACTGTCCCCATTTTGCTACTCTGTCTTGGCCTTTCTTTTGCAACTTTGTCCCACTTGTTTTAACAGTGTTTCCAACTCAGAAGCCCTTTTTGACCCTTGACAAGGCTGCATTCCCCACCCCAGACCAGTTTCGCACATGGCAGGTATAGGGTCGTGGAGTGTGCACTGGGTCAATACAGAACTCTGCTCCTCCAAACTGAGAAGACGTGTTGCCTGGGCCAGGGTGGGGCACGGAGTTATGAATGGCCTCCAGCTTTTGGGTTTGCTTCTCCGCAGGGGACACTGTAGGCGGCTGTGCGGTCCGCCACTGCCCCCCGCCCCTTGTGTCCGGCTGCGACGTGGGTTGCGGTCTCCGTGGGGGTGGCATCTCCTGTCCAGGAGGTTTGCGCCTGGCGGGGCTCCCCGGAGCGGCGAGGAACCGGGAGGCGAGACCAGGGCGGGGTGAAGCGCGTCTGGGCGAGGAGGACAAACGCAGGCAGCCGCGCAGGGGGCGCAGAGGGCAGCGGGCGGGCGGACGCGCCGCTAAGGAGCGCGCGGGACAGGGCTGAGTAGCCTAGGGGCCGCCCGCCCGAGGGGGAGGAGGCTGTGCCGCCCTTGCTGCAGGTTCGCTGTCGAGCGCGCAGGAGGCAGGGACATGTATAGGGTGCGGTCTGCGCGGGGCCCCGAGCCCGGACCTCTTCCATTTCCCCTCTCACTCGACCCCGGGCTGCGCCGCAGACGGCAGCAGCTCCCGCTCTGCCCGAGCCGCCTGACCGCCGGGCCGGGGTGCTAACCGCGGGTCCCTCCAGCCCGCCGGCCCGGCCAGCCCAGCCCAGCCCGGCGGCCCGCAGCCCCGCCGCCCGCCGCCCCCCGCCGTCGCCGCGTTGCCAAAACAAACGGGCCGGCCTATTTATTGGCGGCCGGCGAGCCGGGCAGCTCAGAGTCGAGGCGCCGAGGGGGACAGCACGCCGCCACCAGCCAGGGCCCCGGGCCCCCGCCCCGCACCTGAGTCCCGCCGGCCTTGAGCCGCGCTGCGCTGCCCATGGCGCCCCCGCCTGGAGTCCCCAAGAGCCACCCAGACGCCTGAACCCCCGAAGCTCTCCCAGCCACGCGCCCACCCATCAGCCCACCAGGCGCCGTCGCCTGCCGCTCTCCCGGGCTACCCGGCCATGTCTCCCGCCTGGCTCCGACCCCGACTACGGTTCTGTCTGCTCCTGCTGCTGCTGCTGCTGCTGGTGTCGGCGGCGCGGGGTTGCGGGCCTGGCCGGGTAGTGGGCAGTCGCCGGAGGCCGCCTCGCAAACTCGTGCCGCTTGCCTACAAGCAGTTCAGCCCTAACGTGCCGGAGAAGACCCTGGGCGCCAGCGGGCGCTACGAAGGCAAGATCGCGCGCAGCTCGGAGCGCTTCAAGGAGCTCACCCCCAACTACAATCCCGATATCATCTTCAAGGACGAGGAGAACACGGGTGCTGACCGCCTTATGACCCAGGTGAGAGCGATCGGTCCTTCCAGCGCGCCATCGAAGCACCGCCACCTGCCCGGCACTATCCTCTTGCCTGGCACCCTTTCCCGACTGCCTGGCACGCCCCCTGGCACCTGCCCTCATGAATCCCGGGTGTCATTCTGCCCAAGACGGGCTGGCCAAGGGACCCCGCGGGAGTGCTGGCATCCCGGATCCCGCCCGGTGTCTTTGAGAGGAGTTCTCTGCTGCTGCCAAGCCCCACAGCTCAGCAGGTTGGCGGGCGCCTCTGCCCGCCGCTCAGGTCAGATCTGGCACTCGAAGGTACCTCGACCTGGCTGCCTCTTGAGCCTCCGGGGACCACGCCATCCTTCCTGGCCTAACATTTCTCACAGCCCAGCTCTGGTCATTTCAAAGCCACTTGGCACCCCTAAGGCGGAGAAGCTCAGGACATCAGGGACCCCGTGGCCTTTCCTCCCCATGTGCCACTTGGTTAGCTGCGCTGCCCTCTCCTGGAGCCCTGTCTTGGCTGGCTCTGGGATTAAGGAATAGCAGGGAAAAGTTGAGTTTGGAGGCAGAGGTAGGAAAGGGAACCAGCCGGGTAAGCCCACGTGTCTGTCGCGAGGGTTGAGCAGCGCGGTTGCGGTTAAAGGGTGGGGTGCTGAAGCCTTCAGGCTCCGAGACCAAGCTTGGGGGAATCCTTGAGCTTGGTGGCGGGGACGAGAAGGATGGGAAGGAGGAGAAGGGATGCCTAGGAAGGCAGGGAGCAGAGATGACACTAACTTATCTCTCCGCACGCGGAGCAGGACCCAACTCCGCCAGACAACAGGGTCGCACACTTCCTTCTCCGAAGCCTTGTTCGCCTTGGGAAAGACTTACGCCCCTTCCCGTTGGGGTCTACCGGCCCATTCCCTATTAATAGGCTGCCACTTTTCTAAATCTTTAGAGAAAGCAACTAAACCACGGCCTTCAGCATGCGCCCTGGCGCCGGGGCTGGCCAGCCGATGTCGGGGCCGAAGGTTGGCCGGTGGCCGGGCCGGGCTGGGCGCCGAGGAATGCAGATAAGGATCCGGGCCACAGGCTGGGCAATCATTGACAGTGAGCGCCCAGGCTCTGTACCAGAAGGAGGGGGTAGAGGGGACTAGTCGAACGAACGGGAGCTGGCTAGTAAGGCAGACAGACATACATGAGGTCTAAGGACTGTCAAGGGTCTAGAAGGAGCCCGTGGAGCTACCTCCCCTTACTGTGGGTTAGCACCCCCAAGCAGGCTGCGCAGTTGGGAGGACTGACTAAGCCTTGGATTATAGTCACTGTTGACTCCTGGGAGGCTAAGTCCAAGGGTCTGTGGGGCCCCAGCTCAGTGGGGCAGAGGTAGGTTGATACTTGGCGGGCCTGGCACCTCACTTCAGCGGAGGGCCCCTTCCCCGCATGTGAGAACTCCACCCCCTTTCCTCAGTCAACTGTAAGGTCCTTGGAGACCCTTGAAGAGGCAGCCACCACCGGTGATCCTTGTCCCCAGGGCACTGCACTCCCACACTGTTCAAGGAAGATTCTGAGGATTCGGGGCGGTTTCCTGAGATCAAAGGCTCGGGTTTTTCACGGGCCTCTTCCTAAATAGGGACAACGCACCCTAGTAGAGGTGTGAGAGCTCCCTGGTCCCTGGCGGGGCGGGGCGGGGGGGGCACGACCTCTCTGTCCCAGTCAGATGGGCAGGGTACTGGCTCTCTGCCTGTCGTATATCCAGCTAAGCGTGGGCAGACGTGGGCTCAAAAGAAGGCCCCGAGAGGAACGTTTTTGTGGCAGTTACTGGAGGGATCTAAGCAGATCTGGAATTTTCCTCCAACACACCCCCTGACCCACGCTGCTGGCCGGGTCTGCACCTGCCGTGCTGGCAAGGCTCAATGTCTCGTGGCCTCAGCTCTGGGGCTGCGGTGACACCTACTGGGCACCTTTGGCCTTGCATGCCTAGCAGGTCAGCCCGCAGGCAGTCGAGTGTTACAATCCCTCCCCGCTGAAGCTGAATGCCCGTCTTGGTGCCTAGATAAAATGAGGACCTCGCCTCTGGAAAAGCATAGCTACATTGTGGCGAAACCAAACTAACCAGTGGAGAGGGAGCCAAGCGAAACTCCACTGACTGGAGAAGAGTCCCCTGAGGGTGCGTAACTCCATGCGCCTTCCAGATTTGTGGCGCCACTATGTGGCCTAGTTCCCTGGAGACTCCCGACTGTGGGAGAACACATTTAGAGTGCTCTATTCCTAAGGGAAAGGGGCAGAGTTCCTCCCAAGTTTTCCAACTCTTTTGAGTGGTGTGGGAGAGTCATCTGAAACTTCTGTTACCTGCACCTGGGTAGGGCTCCCTTCCCTAACTGCGAGCTCTTTCCCCTCCGCAGCGCTGCAAGGACCGTCTGAATTCGCTGGCTATCTCTGTCATGAACCAGTGGCCAGGTGTGAAGCTGCGGGTGACCGAAGGCTGGGATGAAGATGGTCATCACTCAGAGGAGTCTTTACACTATGAGGGCCGTGCGGTGGATATCACCACCTCAGACCGCGACCGAAATAAGTATGGACTGTTGGCACGCTTGGCAGTGGAGGCCGGCTTCGACTGGGTGTATTACGAGTCCAAGGCCCACGTGCATTGCTCTGTCAAGTCTGGTGAGCCGCTGCCAGGGGGCTGGACCCGGGGCCGGGGCCGCAGGGCATGGGCAGGCAGCGCAAGGCCCAGTAGGGCCAAGAAGGTGAAGATGGCCTCCAGGGGATGGAGGCGGGGAACCAAGGGAAGAGGATTTCTGAGGCGGCAGCAGCGCTCCCCGCCGCTGTTTTGGACCGCCTGCTCTTCTCATGTCCGGTAGTGCTAAGACAGGAGCCTAGAGAGACAGGGCTTATTCCCGTGCCACTGAGTGCTGACGTGGTGGTTCACAGCCCAGAGACCGCCACAGGAAGGACAAGACAGAACAAGTTGAAGAGATGGAGGAAGACAGGCTGGCAGGCATCACGGCCTCCCACCTCCATCCAGGTCCATACAAAACAAGGCATAGTGGGGTTAGGGGCCAGAGTGTGTCCAGACATCAGTATGCCTGATCAGGAGATCAAAGGTTCAGAACCTACCACTCAGATGAGGTCAGGCCTCCCAGAGGGGCGCAGGCGTCCCCAACCTCTTCCCCAGAGCCCCAAAGCTGGAAAATTTGGGGTAAAAGCCCAAAATAAAGTGGACTCAATAAAGTGGATTTTCCCAGATTGGCCGCCTTGTTGATCGGAGCTGGCAGGCACTGGAGCCTTGCGCCTCATTCCCAGTCTCAACAGTGTCCCTGTCACTTACACTTAACCCACTCATGAAAGCTTCACATGATTCTCCCGCGGGCCTTTGTTGGCTGCAGGCTCCACCCTCTACATGGGACCATATAGTAGTTGCACGCACAGACTGGCACATAGATCTTTTTCGATATTTTTGATCCACTTGGGTTCACAAGGGTGATCCTACCAACACCCCCTGCCCACAACCTGACCCTTTCAACGGTGTGTACTTACAATCACATCTCCCTTCATCTAAAACACTCCCCAAGTGGCCGCTTCTGCTCATGACTCCTGAGCCCAGACAGTGTCCTCCATTCCACCTTCTGATGTCACTGTGTCCAGTCCCTGTAGAAGTAACCAACACATGAATTGAAAATAACGATTGTTGTCCGTGCCATTAACTCTCCCCTGAGCGCTCACTCTGAGGGGTCTTAGGAGTTTGTTTTTCCCAAGAGCTGGCCTTCCTCTAACTTCTATAGACACAGATGGTCAGCTCTGTCATAGCGCTATACTTGGAAGGCCAGTCTGGGAGGGCCATTTCTTGGAAGTGTTTTATCAAGTGGCAGAACAGACTACCTAGACCTCTGCAAAGCTAAGCAACTTCCCATTTTCACAAGACTGCAGCTTTCCTGGGGTCAGGCTTAAGCAGCCAATGGCTCTCCTGACCTCCAGCCTCTGGCTGCTTTACAGCAGAATATGAGCATATGGGGATGTCACCTGGTGTTGGAGCCCCTGCCTGCGCCTCTCATTGGCCAGGGTTTGGGCTGGGGAGAAGAGGGACAGAGAATCATAATACGGGTTGGCGTGGGTCATGAGAAGCTGAGGTATAGTGATAAGGGGATTGTCTAAAAACAAGAGCAGCCACCCCTGGGCAAGGGTGACCAGGAGAGGGGCACTGTACCTGAGTAACACCTTCATGTCCCTTCTACCCACAGAGCATTCTGCCGCTGCCAAGACGGGTGGCTGCTTCCCTGCTGGAGCCCAGGTGCGCCTAGAGAATGGGGCGCGTGTGGCCCTGTCAGCTGTGAAGCCAGGAGACCGGGTGCTGGCCATGGGGGAGGATGGGAACCCCATCTTCAGTGACGTACTCATTTTCCTGGACCGTGAGCCAAACAGGCTGAGAGCTTTCCAGGTCATTGAGACCCAGGATCCCCCACGTCGGCTGGAACTCACACCTGCACACCTACTCTTCATTGCTGACAATCACACAGAACCAGCAGCCCACTTCCGGGCCACGTTCGCCAGCCACGTGCAGCCAGGCCAATACGTGCTGGTAGCTGGGGTGCCCGGCCTACAGCCAGCTCGGGTGGCGGCTGTCTCCACCCATGTGGCCATGGGGTCCTATGCGCCACTCACGAGGCATGGGACACTGGTGGTGGAGGATGTGGTGGCCTCCTGCTTTGCAGCTGTGGCCGACCACCACCTGGCTCAGCTGGCCTTCTGGCCCCTGCGACTGTTTCCCAGCTTGGCATGGGGCGGTTGGACCCCAAGTGAGGGGGTTCACTGGTACCCGCAGCTGCTTTACCGCCTGGGGCGTCTCTTGCTAGAAGAGAGCAGCTTCCATCCGCTGGGCATGTCTGGGGCAGGAAGTTGAAAGGACTCTAACCACTCCCCTCCTGGAACTGCTAAGCTGGATCCAAAGGCCTCCTCGCCAGGAAGGCTCTGACCCTGGAAGGCACCTGGCCTGAGGACGCTGGTCTCCATCCTCTGTCCAGAACGGAGACACCATCGAGACCTGACTAGGTGGTGCTGGGCCCACACCCTTATCTCCGTGTAGTGGGAGAGCTGTGAACTGAGCTGACTGGGGATGGCTCTCTTTTCCCAGAGACCTTGAAACCCAGCGAGCACTCACTGCTGCTCTTCACCTCCCACCTCCTTACAGGGGAGGACCCGTTCCATCTGCCTTTGGACTGCTTACGCCAGTGTTTCTTGGGGCCTGGGTTTGTGATGTCCCTGTTGGCAACTGGTCACAGTATGAAGAGAGTCTACCTGTCTGTAGGCTTACAACCTCAGTTAATGCTGCTAGATTCCCTAGGAGCCAGTGGGGAGTTGGCTGGACTCATTGCCTTCCAGAACTGAAAGACCACAGCCACCCTGGCCATCCTGAAACATGACCTTTATCTGAAGGCCACACTCCTCCAGAAACGTCCCCAGAGTCTCTGTTCCAGGTCGTGTTACCCTAGTGCCTAGGACTGGGGGAGGAGCCTGGGTACCCTTGCCACCCCTGCCCAGGCTAGTCTCCCTTTTCTGCTGAACCCCAACCCCCAACCCCTCCTCCAGTCTGTCTCCCTCGCCTTATTTATTTGTATGGAGGGGAAACCCATGGGAGAATTTTGGGAATGTTTTGGTCTTTCCTTTCATTTGTAATAAAAATTATTTAAGTTGTTAGAGCCATGGAATCCAGGATTCTGGGTGGAGCCAGTATACAGTTAGGTGCAGTCCTACATGGGTGGTCTAGGAGCCTCCTTTAAGGGCAAATCTCAGAGCTCCTACCCTCACTCCAAGCCCTTTTTAACTTGGCAGATGAATCTGGGCAAGGGCTTGCCTACTGTTTTCCCTAAACATGGCTGTGCCAGAGACACAACAGAGGAAACTAATGTGTGGCCTTGTCCCGCCCCCAGAACCATGATACTGTGTCCTAGTGAAAGTGGCCCTCCTGTTTGTCCTGAACCTTCTCAAGGAGGGCCCGTCTTTTAAACTCGTTTCTATTGGTAATGGATTGAAAAGATTCTATGGGATTCATTTTTCTTGGTGGCCCATTCTGACTACTTGGACAAGTCAGAGGTCCCTAAACCAGCAGTTGTCAACCATCGGAGTTACCTGGGCAGCTTGTGTAAAGGATGCTATTGACTTCCAGGCTTCTGTCTTCATAGCTCCAATGTGAGGCCCAGGAATTAATTTTTAAATATCTCACACGTGGCGGGCGAATGGTCTGTGGATGCCAGCTAATCTCCTGTCACCAGGAGAAAATACTTGAGAAAAAAATAACAAGGGAAATGGTTTATTTTGTCTCACGGTCTCTAAGGTTTCATTTCCTGGCCAGCTCCACTGTTCCTCTCATGACATCTGGGAAACAGAGACAGAGAGAGCAGAAGGTGTAGGGTCAAGACCCACCCTTCGAGAACCCACCCACCAGTGACTTCCTTCCTTCACCCAGGTCCCACCTTCTCACAGTCTATTCAGGAACGAGCTCATCACTGAAGGGAAATGTTAGTGCCGCTACTAAGCTTTCATGGGGGGGCATTTCATATCCCAAACCACACCACCGCACAGAAGTGCTGCGGTGTCTACTGCGGTGTCTAGAGAAGGCTCAGTTTATTGCCAAGGCAGAAAAGCACCCCTCATTTTCAGTTCCTATAACTTAAGGCAGATTTTCCTGCCCAAGCCAGATCAACTGAAGAGAAGTAGGCAGTGATACTCAGGTAACAGCAAGGAAATCGGAAAACAAGACAATTCAATGTGGTGTTCCAAAGCTGAGCAGGGTGTCACTTGCCCATAAACCCAGCTCCTGGGAGGCTGAGGCAGAAGGACTGTGAATCGGAAGTCAATCTGGGCTATGTTCTGAGACCTTGTTTGAAAACAAAACAAATAAACATCTTTAGCTGGTCATGGTGGCACAAGCCCATAATTCTAGCACCCAGGAGACAAAAACAAGATTGTGAGAAGTTCCAGGCCAGGCAGGGCTACACAGGACCTTGACACAAAACAAACAAGCAAGCAAATCAATAAGTTTGCCCTGGGGGTCAGGGTCATAGGTTCCCACAGACAGCCATCTGATGAAGACTCTAGACTTTACCCGTGTGGCCTATTTATTGCTTATAACAACCTGTGTGGTGTGTATGCTAATATCGCATTTTCCAAATCATAGCACACTGGAGGTGACACCACCATGGGCAGAAGTAAGACTTGTATCCTTCTAGTTTGCCTCTCAGGCCACCACGGCCATAGGCTTTCTTATCCTGGGGTGAACTTGTGACCACTCCGGAAGGCCACTCCTAGCATTCCAGGCCTGGGAGTCTCTAGAACAGACCCATCTCTTCTGGCCAAAAGATTCACAGTTCTTGTAGAATGAGAAATATGAGGTGGCAGTCATGATGTCCTTGTCCATTTTCTTTCCCATTCTTTCCCGGTACTTTCTATCTGGTAGATCAGGCTACAATGACATTTGGAGAACATGAATGCATAAAGTAGGTAGCTCTCCAGGTCATGGAGGACAGAACGAGAAGGGAAGGGGAAGGCGGGGGGGGGGGGACATAGGTCAGGGAGCAGGGGAGAAAACAAACATAAAAAATTAAAATAATAGCTGGGCAGTGGTGGCACACGCCTTTAATCCTAGCACTCAGGAGGCAGAGGCAGGCAGATCTCTGTGAGTTTGAGGCCAGCCTGGTCTACAAGAGCTGATTCTGGGACAGGCCCCAAAGTTGCATAGAAATCTTGCCTCGAAAAGTCAAATTAATTAATTAATTAACAGTAATGGTAATGGTGATGATTACCAAGTGGGGAAAGGCCTAGAGTCAACGAAAAGGGCCTGGAGAGCTTAAAGCAGGGAGGGGCTCATAATCGGACTTTCCAAAAGTTTCTCTGGCTTCTGTATGGAAGAGACGCTAGCAGGGACAGCGTGGAAGCAGGGAGTCCACTAACTGGCAGAAGGGAGGTGACCTGGACTGGGGAAGTGGACATGGGGCTAGAAAAATGATGACGGAATAGATATTCAAGCAACAAAACCAAAGATTGAAGCCAAGACTAGGTAGGTCATGGTGGTCCAGAAAGGACCAGAGTGAAGTTGGGGGCTCGTCAGCACGGGCTTCACCTCTCCCACCTACAAGTTCCATTTGGCCTCAGTGGCCACCCCGAAAGGGTTTTCAGGGCATTCTCAAACAGATGTCCTGTCTCCTTGTTGCCGAAAGCTGGATTCCTGGGTACATGAGGCCTTCCCAACACTGAGGCTCCTACTCTCTCTGCCTGTATTTCCGCTCCACTTTACTTCAGCTACTGTCACTGTGTGAGACTGGTGAAGAAGAGCCATTTTCTTCTCATGGTTCCTGGGGTCCGGCATCCACTATCAAGGTGTTGGCATCTTTGGGTCGGGGGCTTCTGTGCTGTGCCATCTGAGAGCATAATGCTAAGAGAGCTAAACAAAGCTGGGAAAGAAAACACTTCATCTCGTGGGGATTCGCTTGGCAATGGTTAACCCATCTCCAGGATACTGGTATTTATTTATGCACGCACAGGAGTGGATCCCTCCCAATCTTATCACTTTTACAGGTCCTATCTCTCGTTGCAGATATGCTGAGAGTTATTTTATAACACATGAATTTTGAAATCAAACCAGGGCACTCTCATACCACATTGAGAGTGCATGGAGAAGGCACTCGGGTTATCCCTCTGTTCCCAGGTTCAAGTCCACATGTCCTGGGGGAGACCTGGAGATAGTGAGATCTGGAATGTCGGGGTTCAGAAAATGAAACCAGATGACTTCCTAGGTGTTGGGTCTCTAGAGCTGACTGGGGAGACTACCCTCAGTGAGAGAGGCTCAGTGCAATTAGGTACCCACTCCTGTCTGTGCTGGGGTCTCTGAATGTACCCAGCCCAAGCCAGTCCTGCAGCCTCCTCTCTTGTTTCAAAATCATCCTGGGTGTGGCTCATTGGAAGCCAAGTGGGTCTCTCTCCTCTCTTCTTGCACAAATGGAAGACTTTTGTTAGCGGGTAGACCCTGTGCTGGTCAGAGCAGAGACTAAGCAATGGCTCTTTAGGTGGTGATCTAACGCTGTGGAAACAGAAATAGGCCCACTCCGTTAAAAATACATAAGGTTGGGCCTTTATGGCCCTACAGTACTTGGGCAAAGGTAGGTGACCGGCTCATCAGGAGCTAGTGTGTGGAAGGGAGGTTCGAGGCACCCTCAGGGGCTGAGGGAAGTGACAGCCAGAGCTAAAGGGAGACTAGGATGTGGGCTGGGAACTGGGAACTGTGGCAGGGCTAACAGCCTTTGTGAATGTTCAGCCCAGCTTCCCAAAGAGCACTGATTCTCCCTATAAGGGAGAACACAAGCCCTATTTCTCACTCCAGAGGGTGCCCCTGTCCAGATAAACCTCTCAGGGGTGACAGCTCCCACCACCCCATGCCCTCTGGCCTCTGGATGGTTGCACCTGCTGGGGCTCAGCCCCACATCCCACACCCCAGTCAGCTTCTCAAAGCCTCTTTGTTTCTCTGGCTGAACCTGGCCAGCCCGGATCTGATAAGGGCCTCTTTGGGTAGATAGCGGCCCAGCCCCGTGTGCTGCACAGCTTTGAGCCACACCCACTTCCTCGCACGCACGTACACACGCAGCTTACTCAGGATGGGCAGAGACTCGGGGGCCTTTCTGTCCGAGCCAGGGTGTGTTTGTCCTCTGGTGTGGTCCTACCTGCAGCCCCTTTATACACCTCTGTCATCCCACAGGGAGACAGAATAGGAGAATTAGTATACCTGTTTCAGAGACTAATAAAATTAGGTTCCCAAAGCAAAAGCACCTTGCTTGTGTTCACTTCTTCCAGTCAGGAACTCTTCCCAAAGGTCAAGTGTGCTAGACGTGCTATTCACATCCCTGCTTCCAGACCTAAACACCAAGTGAGGATATTGCTACTTCCTCCTTTGCACATGAAGAAATGAAGGCCCAGAGAGGTGAAGTTGTTTTCCCAAATGCAATAGCAGAGCCGAGATCAGAGGCTTCCTTCAGTAGAAAGCTAGGGAGGTGGGCTGATGCATCCTTCTTAGGGGTAGTAAAAGAAGGTACTCCTAGTCACAAACTAAAGGACCTGATGAGTCCAGGAGTGGCCATAACCCCGTAAGAGAAAGGTGGCCCTGGAGGAGGAATGACTTAGTGCTGTGGGGGAAGCCAAGATAAGGTATGGGGTGCTTAAAATACATTCACAAGTTCTTTGCTTTTCCCCATCCTCAGGAAAGGCAGGGGCTGGTCTGAAGCTGAATATCTTCTAACAAGGAAGAAATGACTGTGCAGCTTCTTTCTAGTTCTTCCTAGATCTGGGTGTTCGGTTCATGGCCTAACAAAGCTCTTCACCAACAGACTGCAGCAACCTTCTGCCATGGGAGTATGTCATTGGGGACACCATTCTAAGGTGGTTCCGGGCATTGAAGTCAGATTGCCAGACTTGTACAGCAAGTGCTTTACCCACTGAGCAATCTTGCCCATCCAGTTCCAGTTTGAATCTCTCTCTCTCTCCTCTCCCTCTCTCTCTATTTAAGACAGGGTTTGTCTGTATAATCCTGACTGTCCTAAACTCAATCTGCAGACCAGGATGGCCTCAAACTCACAGAGATCCACCTGCCTCTGCATTCCAAGTGCTGGGATTAAAGGCATGCCCCATCACCATATAGATAAAATCATAACTT